GTCGTGGTCGAGGCGGTTTCTGAGAGCGCGGTCGGTATCTTGGATGAAGCTCATGTATGAGTCGAAAAGATCAGTAGTGAAGGTGGTTGTGCAGGAGGTGCTGTCGTGGCGTGGAGCCGTGGTATGGTCGGGGTCCGCGTGGTTGATGAAGAGGATGGTCTTGATCATCAACTTGGTGTATCCAGGGATGTCCAGGAGGTGGATGACGTCGTCAGGGGACGCTGAAGCCGACTGGTTTGCGATGAGGTGCGCGGTGTATCGGATCCGTCTGCGTGATTTCTTGGAGCCAATGCCATTCCTTTTCACTATGCGGATCGTCTTGAGGAGGGTGCGTCGGAATCGAAGAAGCGCGTAGGAGGCCTCGGTAATGTAGGGCTTGCGGGGGGCATGATGCTGCTTCTTGAAGCTGGCGTAGGCTGCGTCCTTTATCTGATCGACGATGCTCTTAGTATGGTCGTTGAGGTTGGTCTCCCAGGGAGGGTGTTGGATCTGCTGCAGGCGTCGTTGAAAGTCGTTCTTGGCTGTCTCGGAGTCGAGCTTAGCGATGTCGAGCTTGGGCGTGCCGTGTTGGTAGGCGGTCTCGACGGTGTAGGCGAGGTTGGCCTTGACAGGGAAGTGGTCGTTCTTGTGTGAGTGGTCGTCTACTGTGTCGATGCCGTACATTACGGACGTGTAGGAGATGGAGTCGAAGAGCTCGTGGCCAACCACTATGTAGTCCAATCTGTGCACGTCCTTGCCTGAGTCCCAGGTGTAGTGGTCCTGGCCACCGCTTTTGAAGGTATTCGCGGCGATGAGAGAGTTACCTTGCAGGACCTTGTGGAAGCGTTCGCCGTTGTCGTCCTCCTTTTGCTTGAAGCCTTGATCGCCGATTGCCTGGCTGCATAAGCTGCCCGTTCGAGCGTTTGCGTCGATGAAGAAGATGTTGATATTGTGGTTAGAGGTTGCGCACTCGATCATCTCCCAGAAGGTATCCTTCTCGTGTGGCGTGGCTCGTGAATGTGGTGCATGGGCGACGCAGACTGTGTGTCGAAAGCCTGGGGCTTCGATCCTTACTATGAGGTGCCGAGGGCTGTGCTCGATGACAGTGAACTGATCGGGGCGGAAGTAGAGGTCCTTGGCTCCTGCCTTTCCGTACGGCTTGCTGGTGAGTATGTGGAGCTCGCAGCCGAGGTTGTACTGGTCGTGGCCCCCTGAGATGACGTGGTAGGCGTACGCACTCGTGCTGGTGATGTCGTTGCCACTGCGAACTCCCCAGGGCGTGCGGGCTTCCTGGATGCCGATCAGGTGGAGGTCCTCCATGTACAGGTTGAGCATAGTCTTTCTGAGCTTGTGGATCTTCTCTTTGCGCCGTCGAGCGCCGAGGCCAGGTTCGCGCCCTGACTGGATGTTGTAGGTGGCGATGTTGACGTCTATCTCGGTCGAGGTCTTCGTGGTCTTGGCTGGTGTCGAAAGGTGAGCTGTCGTTGCCGTGGTATCGATGCGTTGGGCCTTGAGCATCCCAGGTGAAAAGGATGGGTAAGCGTCCTTGGTGTGGTTGTCGGCATCAAGTAGGAATTCCCAGCTGCGCTGAGGGGACGCGTTGAGTATGTCGGCCCATTCGGGTTGTGGGTGCGGGTAGTCCTCGATTCGGGCGTAGTTGGCCGCGGCGTCGGCAACTTCGTTCCACGGGTTCATCTCGTGGGCATGAACGTGACGCAGGTCGACATATTCCTTGACGTGCGAGTACATGATCACCAGTAGCTGCACAAGGTGGGCGTCGCGGTTAGTAAAAGCCTCCATCCTGGCCAGTTGGATCGCTCCCAGCGAGTCGGAGTGGACCGAAATGCTGTGGTGGATGTCCTTGTGGATGATGTAGGCGAACGCCCAGATGAGCGCTGTGATCTCGCTGGATGTCGAGGTGGTCTCGTTGTCCGTGAGGTTTTGGATCTCTACGAGGGTGGAGTCGCGGTGCTTGCCGACTATTGCGCCTTGAAAAGAGAAACCTTCTTCGTCTTCTCCGACGAGTACAACCGACCATCCGTCTTGACCATGTTGGCGTGGGTGTTTGGAGCCGTCGGTGTATAAATACAGGCGAGAATCTCGTGGAAGCTGTCGGTATGGAAATGTTCGCACCATGTAGTCTGATACCTCGTTGTGGCAACGGTCGGTGAAGTCGAAGGTAAGCCTGGGAGCCTGAAGTCGTCGAAGGTGCTGGAGTAAGGGCTCCTGTTCGTCGAAGTCGATGTGGTAGAGGATATTGTCGGTCTGCTGGTCGCGGGTGTGAACTTCGCGAGAGAAACGAACATGCCGTAGCGCCTCGTGGCTCTCCGCATTCGGCAGGTCGGTCTGTCCATGTGGGACCTGGGTAGCGTCAGGGGAGTCAAAAATGGGAGATTGTGGCCGGCGGGAAGTTGATGTACATGGCCGGCTCAGTGAGTCACAAAATTGTCGGTCTCGATCGCCATCTTGGCCAAAATGGCTAGTGCGTCGATGCCTTGTTGGTGGCTCTGGTCGTTCTGGCCACAGACGGCCGCACCCCCCCGTGTTGTACTCACAAAGCGATGCGTCCTCTCGAGGCGTAGGCGGTGGCGTCGTCATCGTCGGGAACGACCGTGACTGGGCTTCCGCTGGTGGAGGATGTGAGTCGACATGCTGCCGTCGAGGTTGGGTGGCGGTATCTGGTCGGTCCGCTAGCGTATGTGGCTCTAGTGTGGGATCTGTGTGAGACAGCCTTCTCGCGCTCCCCAAGCGAGAGGTAGCGGCCGAGGGGATGGTCCACGGTCCACTACTAGGCTGTAGCATGTTGGGCGGTGTGTGGATTTCCCACATGTCGCCATGCTCGTAAAGATCTGGAGGTGCGCTCTCCCCCACGCGCATGTCGCTAGTGGCTGATGATACGGTAGGTGAAACTTGTGAAGTGTCGTAGGGTTTAGGGGGCTGCCGGAGGCCAAGACAGCCCGCTGCACTTAAGGGGCCCTTAAGTGCAGCGGATCTGCTCCTCCTTCGGAGGGGCTCCCGGAGGCGCATGACGTCGTCGGCGTAACCACTGCAGGAGTCGGAAGTGCCGTCGTTGCGCTGGTAGTCTTCTGGTATGATGCTGGGCCGCTCCCCCTGGGCCAGTTGCCCCCCAGGGGGTGAGGGCCTTGTTAGTTTTTTGGTGAGTTGACCGCGGGGGCTTCCTCGTCGTAGAGGAAGGCTGGCACACGGTCTCCTGGGTCTGCGAAGCCGTCTCCGATGTCGCAAATGCGGACTTTCTTGTGCTTGGCCGTTCGGCTAGATGATCCGTTTTTGCGGAGAGCGGTGCGGGGTGGAGGAGCGGAGGTGGCGCGGTCAGGCGTGGCGAGGTGGAAGCGGGGTGGTGGTTGGATTGGCTGCATCGGTGCGGTAGGGGATATGTCGGCTAGTGGAATGCGCACTGGGGTGGAAGGTGGTGGTGCATCGTCGTCGGAAGTGATGTCAATGAGAAGAGTAGTGGATGGGTGGGTGTGCCGATTTGGGTCTGTCCTTCTGGTGCGTGTTGGTGGCGCTGAGCTGGGTCGATCATGCTGCAGATCGGGTGGGTGGAAATCGATGGGTGTGGGCTGCTCAGGGGGGATTGGCGTATGCAAGGCGGGGGTAGGTAGTGGCGTAGGGGCAGGGAAGGGATATGCGTCGCTCGCAACAGGGGTTGGGCTGCAAAGGTCGTCGTCGTCAGCTGGGATTGGAGTGTGCACGCTGGCGTCGTCGGCGTCGTGGCATGGGCGTCGCGCAGTGGGAGTGGCGGTTGGCGTCGCAGGTGTCGGTCGTGGTGGTGGTGTGCTTCTGCGCTGTCCGCTGCTGCTAGGCTGTCCACCGCTGCTGCTGCCGCAGTTTCTGAGGTAGAGTTGGTAGCCCGAGTCCTCGGAGGTAGAGGGTGGGGTCAGCAGGTCGAGTGCCGCTTGTACCTGTTGGTCGATTTGTGCTTGTTCGGCGTCTGCTTGGGCTTGCAGTCGTGCGTCTTCCTCGTCTCGTTCTTGAAGTTGTGTGTCGAGCTCCCTGAGGATGTCCACGTCGATGCTGGTGCCGAGCTCATGGGCTTGCTGCAGTTCGCAGTGCAGTCGCTCGCGCTCCTGTCTGTGTTGCTGAAGGTGCTCCTGAAGTTGGAGTTGGTGCTGCTCCTGGAGTTCGTTCTCGAAGCGTTGCATGTCGCGGGAGGTGCCTCGAAGCTTGTCGATCTCGCTGTTGTACTCGCTCTGGGCCGTCAGAGTGCGGTACTTCTGAGCCTGGACCTGTCCGAACTCCTCCAAGAGTAGCTCCTTGGCATGCTGAAGTTGGTTCTGTTCGACCCTCGCGATGTTGCTGATTTCCTGCTGAGCCTGAGCTTTCTCGGAGAGAAGACGTTGCTGTTGTTCGTGGCATCGTTGTTGATATTGTTGGACCATGATCTCGGCGTTCTCGTGTAGCTGGTGTCGGAAAGTCTCTTCCTCCTGCTTCCTCTGGGTGATGAAAGTGGCGAGGTGCGCTGACTCTTCCTCCTTGAGCTGGTCGCGCATGTAGGCCTCCTTCTGCTGGTAGTGAGCCAGGTTCTCTGTGATGGATTCGCGAGCCTCGTATCGGAGCCGCTCCTCGCGCCGTCGGAAGACTTGGATCTCGTCGTAGTGCGACTGTCTCTGCTGGAGTTGTGCTTGCTGAAACTGTTCCTGGCAGTGTTGTAGATGTTGCGAAAGCTCCTGAATCTGCTCGGTCTGCAGTTGACGCTGTGCTTCGTGTTGCTCAGATTCGGCACGTTCATGATGGAGAAACGCCAGATGGTGTTGGTGTATCCCGTGGTTGCGCTGCTGCTCATCCACTCTCCTCGTCAGCACGTCGATGAGTTTCCGCAGGTCGCTGTCGTCGTTGGTAGTCGAAGCGGGCGTTGGCTCGGACACGGGTTGACAAACTAGTGGTCGCTGTCGTCCCTCAGGGTGTGGTGTTTTGCCCCTGACACGAGGGCGCACATCATCTTCTCCGTCCCCGTCACAGCTGTCTTCAGAAAGGTCGGCGTGTTCTCGATGTTGTTTGGCCTCGGAGATGAGTGTCTTGAAGGATGCGATCTCGCGCTTGATCTCGTCGTGCTCCTTGTTGAGGTCGTGAAGCTGGCTCTCGACGATCCGCTGTCTCTGGATCCGTGACTCCACTTGGGATCTGTATTGAGCGATGCGAGCAGTAGGCGTGTCCAATAGATGTAGCATGGTCTTGACGATGGCCAGCTCCTCGATCAGGCGGGTTGGGTCAACTTGAGCTTGCCTGGCTCCGAGGACTTGGTCGGCGAGACGTGCCATCCTCGCCACCTTGGTTGCGTGCCAGACCCGACGTATGTCTGGCTCGTCGGGAGGAAGAGAAAAGCTTTCATGTCCCTTGGCATCCGAAAGCAAAGCGGGCATGACCTTGTCAGTGACCTCCAACTGTCGTTTCGTCAGCTTCTGCAGATGTCGGTGGTCGTTGGTGGTGTCCTCGGAGGCCAGGCGGCGTCGTCTCGAGGAAGACCGCTTCATTCTCGCTGTGGTGCGATCGTCCTGATGCTGCTGCTGATGCTGGGCGTAGTTGTGTTGCTGTCGGTCCTCGTCGTGGTAGGAGGCGTGGTGGTGCTGGTTGTGCTGGGGCTGGTACCGTGGCTGCTGCTGTCCATGCCCTCCGTGGTGTCGGCGGTGAGCTGAGCCAGATGCTGGTGTGCTTGACCTCCATGGCCACGGCTTGGCACCCACTGGATGACCGTGAGACTTTGCGTTGGCTGCCATCGCGCTGCTGCTGCGGCTGCGCAGGTGCTGCTGCTGGCGCTGGGGCTGCTGCGCTGAGTGGTGGTTGTTGAGGACGTTGGCCGCCTCCACCACGCGCAGCAGGGCCCTCGCCGAGGAGCGGCGTGCCCTCTCCCGCCTGTGCCAGGCGGGCTCCAGAGGCGTCTGGCCCCACGTGGCGCGCCAGCGGGCGCGCAGCCAGGCGCAGGGTCGCGGCTGCGGCGTCGGCTATCGCCGACCCGCCGCGGCGCGCGAGCCCGGCCCCGCGGGCGGCCGATCACGATTGGCGTGAGTCGATCGGCGCGATCGAACGATCAGGCCGAACGGATGATCGTTCACGGCCCCAGCCCGCCAGAGGCCAGATGGGCTTGGGGGTCCTCCTGCTCCTCCTCCTCCTCCTCCTCCTCCTCCTCCTCCTCCTCCTCCACCTCCACCTCCTCCTCCTCCCTCCTCCCTCCTCCTCCTCCTCCTCCTTCTCCTCCTCCTCCTCCTCCTCCTCCTCCTCCTCCTCCTCCCCTCTGCCCTCTGCGACTCTGCCCTCTGCTGGTCTCAAGGCGGTGGCGCCCGCCGCCTACCGCGAGGCCGCTCGGCAGTTCACAGGATCACGCCCCGTCCCTCCTCCTCCTCCTCCTCCTCCTCCTCCTCCTCCTCCTCCTCTCTTCCTCCTCCTCCTCCCCCCTCCTCCCCCTCCGCCCCCTCCTCCCCCTCCTCCTCCTCCGCGCCTTCTCCTCCCCCCGCCTGCCGGCGGCTGGGCGCGCTGGAAAAGCGCCGCGCCTCCCCGCCCGTGCCAGGCGGGCCCGCCCCGCCCCCCCCCCCCCCGCGTGGCCTTCCAGGCGCTGTCGCTGGCCGCGGGCTACTGGTTGAGCACAGTTGCGCCCGGCTCGGAGGCAGGGAGGGAGGGAGGCAGGGAGGGAGGGATAGAAGGGAGGAGGGAGGAGGGAGGAGGGAGGAGGGAGGAGGGAGGAGGGAGGAGGGAGGAGGGGGAGGAGGAGGAGGAGGAGAGGAGGAGGAGAAGGAGGAGGAGGAGGAGGAGGAGGAGGAGGAGGAGGAGGAGGAGGAGGAGAAGGAGGATACACGGGGTGTCCTTCCCTCTGCCAGGGCCCACGTTGGCTTGCTTCCCACCTGGCCTGGGCCCTCGCTGCGGGACGAAGGGCTGCGGTGTCCCCAGGGTGCCGTCCTGTCCACTCCGTGCTCCCTCCACTTTCTGGGCTTTGCCCTTCTCTTCCCCCCTTGTTCCGCCCCGTGGGCTTCTCCTGGGCTCCGTCTGGGCCATCAGCGGGTGCAGCTGGACGCTGCCCTGCATCCTTCCCTGCCCTTGTCGTAGGATGCGACTCCTGGGAGGTGTAGTTCAGCGTCGGCGCTGGTAGATCCGTAGTCGAAAGCCGGCCTAGTCCAGCATAGTCCCCGTGACCTCCGTTGAGTCCTTCGTGACCCCCGCTTACTCCCGGGCTTCCTCTGGGCTCGTCTAGCCCAGCGGCGCCGCAATCCGGCCTGATAGCCCTACGGCTTGTAGTGGAAAGATGGCGTGCGATGTGGCGTCGCAGACCCGCTTATGACACGCCATCCCCCACCTCTGGGGCAGCGTGCGCCGCAGGAGCCCCGGCAGGGGGATAGCGCGCACAGAAGCGGCCCCCGCGCCGCGAGGGCCACTCCTGTGCCCAGATGACACTCCCGATCGGCGTGGCTGCGACGCAGCAGCCCCGTCGCTCTGCGTCGAAACATACCACTTGTCATACACTATCTGTGTTTCTGGATATGCGCTACCGCCTCTGGCTTGCTATACTGGAGCAGGTGGCTCATACCGCTGCAAACAGCGGTTTGCGCGCGTTTTCATGTGACGTTCCCTGTTGGTGTTGTGCTGTGCGTTTTCCCAAAGAAACCAAGCATTTGAACAATTTCCACACCTCGCGGGCGGACCTCCCCACAGGGCTAGCGTGCTTCCCGGAGCTCGATGTGGCGCGCCATTTTTTCAGCGCCAGCCAGAGTCGTTCGTGCTGAGGCCTCCCAGGATGGGCGGCGCGCAGCGGGGGGCAGGGGGATGGGGGGGAAGGCTTCTCAGAAGGAGGCTGCCTCTGAAAAGGCGACGGCCCTACATCTTCAGAGAAGGCCCGCGCCTTCTGATAAACAGGAGTGCTTCTAACAAGTTTCCCCCCCCCTTCCCCCTACCCCCCTACCCCCCTCTGCGCGCCGCCAACGGGAGTTCCCTCCTCGCGCTCTCCCCTCCTGCCGTCGGCCGCCGCGCGAGAGGGAGAAACAACCTCCCCAGGAAGCGGTGGGGGGCTTCTCGCAAGGCCAGAGGCCTCCCGAGCCTTCTGAGAAGGCTCCGCCTCCCCCTGACTTCCCCCTCGGGCTCGCCGCCTGCCATGCCCACATCGTTCGCCGAAGGGAAACGCGTACAGTCGGACCGAGGCATGAGATCGAGGTCGCCTCGGGGAGGGTACCCTGGTGCTCTTCGTGCTTGCTGGATGCTATTGCGCATCCTGGGGGTGGGCACCCTTGGATTTCTGCGTGCTTTGGCCGACGGAGGGTCTCGTGTTCTTGAGGGGCATTCTTTTGCCCTGGGTTCGACTGTGACCTCCTCCTCCTCCTCCTCCTCCTCGACGCAGCAATGCAAACGTGCGATCGGCGGGCCGAGGAGATATCGGCTGCCGTGTGCCCCTCTGCGGGCAACGCGTGAGGCAGGTGCCTCGGACAAGTTCCCCCGAGCAGTGCACGTCGAGAGATCCTTCCGCTTGGCATCGCTCGGACGTGTGCGTTTTTTCTCGGCGAGGACCATCGAAGAGCATCCTGGATCATCGAGCAATGACAAGCACGCACAACATCGAGCACTGCGCGGAAAATGGGCGTCTGAGCGACGGCAAGTCCAGAGCCTCCGTCACCGATGCGACGGCACCATCGTCGTAATCGGCGTGATCAGCATCGGCGCCTTCATTGCTCTTGCCGTCGTCCTTGTCATCATCGTCGCCAGCATCGCTACTATCATCATCGTGTCTTCCGTTGTCGACGTCGCCATGATACCGCGTTCGCCCGAGTCACCGAACCGCACTGACGTGCCCCCGCGTCAGCGCGGCCTGCGAGACGCGCTGGGAAGTTCCCAGCGGTCAGTGCCACCGCGGCCGCGTCGGTCGCGCCAGACTAGCTGGCCGCTCTGCGCGCGAGCTAGCGCGCGCTAGCGCGGACGTAGCGCTGCGCCAACTCGCGCCAAGCAGCCATCGCAATCGCCGCCGCATGGGTTTTGCAAACCAAATTGCGGGTGGGCGGGTGGGTGAGTTGGTGGGTGGGTGGGATGATTGCGCGAGAATGGGAGGTGGTCGCGCGCGAGGAAGTCAAAACCAATCGCACCACGTAGACTTTCTTTTTTAAGAGAGTAATAGTAGATTCCACCCCTCCCTGGAATTAACAATCCTTTTTTTTCGTATTGCAATTTACATATGATTCTGCCCCCTATCGTCCATCTTAAACGTGACGTCGTACCATCACAGGCAGGCCGGTATCGATACCCCCCGCCATCCTCTGCACCATATGCTATGCGCGTGCTCTCGTTTTTTCAGCAAACCAGCATTTTTCAAAGTCCTTTGCAAAAAAGCGGGGCAAAATATACACGCGCGCGTCCTCGCGCGCGCATGCCGAAATCCTTGAAGAACCTTCGGTGTCGTAGGGATTTCAGTATCGAATGCCCCGAGCACATAACAAACACACGGTTTTTTCAACATCAGTTTTCAAGCCATCCTGCGCTTGCGCTCGCGCTGCCGCATGGGTTTTGTAAACCAAGTTGCGGGCGGGTGGGTGGGATGTTTGCAACAGCATACAATGTGTCAGCTTGTTTGTAAAAGTCAGTTGCGCCACATAGATTGTTCCACATATTGCACAACAGAGTCTGCTAGAAACACACGGTTTTGGGTTCACGGTGGTTAGCATACGCATACATACACACACGCATATATGTATATATATATACACATACATACACATGGTTTCCTGTGTATATGTGTGTATGAATGTGTATATATACACATACCGTTGTGTGTATACACACATATAAACATACATATATTTACACCACCATATACACATACTACTTTAGATTTTATTATATATATATAACACAACTAGGCCGGCCCCCACCGGGGCGTCCTCCACCTCGGTCACATTTGGATTACGCTCCCGGTGCCGCGTCCCCGGCCCCCCACATATATCCCAAAACGTTTCAGAAGAGCCGCAGACGCCCACGAGCAGCCGCCAGAATCTAAAAGGACGATCCACGAGGCTCCCAAGCAACCCAAGACAGCCTTCGGGCGGTTCTCCAGGCTCCCAAGAGGCTTCCAAGAGACTTCAAGAGAGAACCGAGAGGCCTCCCGAGAGCGCCCGGAAAACCAAACATCGTTAATTTTTGTTTGTTTGTTTTTTGGTAAAAAAGGTCTTCTCACCATTTCATGCTTCCAACGCTCCAAGACAAGACGGCCGAAGAGGCCCCAAAGACCGGCCAAAGACCGCCCCAAATGGCCCCAAGACGGGCCAAAAAGGCCCCCGGACTGCCGAAGAGGCGCCCAGGACAGCTCCAGTTTGGAACATCAAACAGAAGTGGTCTACCAAACGGATTGGATTACAGTTACACGGTGGGCATAAACGGCTTACTAATCTCCGGTTTGCGGATGACATCATCTTGATAGCTGGGTCGCTGCGCCACATCACTTGCATGTTGGACGACTTGAGCAAGGAGGCCGCCAAAACAGGACTCGAACTACATCCGGATAAGACAAAAATTCTCCACAACGGCAACAGAGGGTCTAGAAAAGAAAAAGCACCCAGCCACGCAACTGCCAACGGAATGACAATCGAGATTTTGCCGCTTTACAGGTCGACGAAATATCTTGGAAGGAAATTGCAATTCAGCGAATTCCACGTCACCGAGCTGGAGAACAGGATCTCGACGGCATGGAGAAAGTTCTTTGCTCTGCGAACTGAACTGACAGGGAAACATTATTCAATGAATAAACGAATCCGGCATTTTCACGGAACGATTACACCGACTATTCTTTATGGGTGTGAATCATGGACAGCGACAGTTGAAATGGAAAACCGATTCCGCAGAACACAGCGCCAGATGCTGCGTATGATGTTGCGTGCGCCGCGACGTCGAGACCCACGACAGCTTGGACCGGAGGTGACTTGGCAAGACGATTGCGACCTAGAGCCATGGGCAGACTACATTCGACGGTCCACCCACAAAGCTGAAGGGATGATGGAGCATCTGCAAATTACCGATTGGGTCACGATCCTACGCCAACGGAAATGGAGGTGGGTTCAGCAAGTTGAAGTGTGGCAGAATACGAATGGACATCACAGGCGTTACGATGGGACCTTCAATGCGATTCAACACTGGGTGCACGACGGCGACAGGGTCATCCGAAGAAGCGGTGGTCGGATGATATTGTACGTTACGCAGGGCCCGACTGGATTTCAAAAACCGTCTCCGACAAATGGGAATTGCTTGAGGCAGCGTATGTAGGCAGGACGGCGCCTGATCCTTTTCCTTTTTTGTAGTATCTTGCATGTTGTAGCGTAGCATGTTCACGTATGTGTTGTTTGTTCATCTGTCTCACACTTGCCCGGTGCCACGGCGCCAACCTGCGACGCCCCCGCTGGCGACACCTGCAGGTCCGATGTCCGATGTCCGATGTCCGAGGACAGCTCCAGACCACCCCAGAACAGGCCCAATATGGGCCCAAGAGCGGGAGCAGGAGGCTTCCAGAGACCTCCGAGAGGACTCCCAGACTCTTGAGAGGCCAGAAAAGAAACCCGACGAGGCTCCCAAAACAGCCCAAGAGAGCTTCGAGAGCCGTCCAGAGAGAGCCCGAAGGAGGTAAAATCGTTGATTTCCATTGGGGGTATCGAACCAAGGCCTCATTTCATTGTTCAATCCTGCCTCGTAGCACCCGCCCGACTCCTCGCGTCTGCTCACAATGCCTGACTATCCATACACAGCGCCTCGTAGAGATACAGAGCATCCTCCTCCTCCTCCTCCTCCTCATCATCATCATCAGCAGCAGCATCATCATCATATTCCTCCTCCGCCTCCTCCTTCTCCTCCTCATCATCTTTATCATCATCATCACCATCATCATCATCCTCATCATCATCAGCATCATCATCAAAATCATCGTCATCATCATCATAATCATCATCAGCATCATCATCAGCAGCATCATCATCAGCATCTAATCCTCCTCCTCCTCCTGCTCCTCCTCCTCCTCCTCGTCTTCCTCCTCCTCCTCCTCCTACTCTTCCTCCCCCCCCTCCTCCTCCTCCTCCCCCTCCTCCTCCTCCTCCTCCTCCTCCTCCTCCTCCTCCTCCTCCTCCTCCTCCTCCCTCTCCACGTCCCTGTCCCCACCCCCTCATTTCCTCCCCCCGCTGACCGGACGACCAGGCCCGACCGGACCCGACCCGACCCGATCCAGGCAAAGGGGCGCTCCGTTGACTGAAGGCCCGATCGACTACCCCGACCCCGATTCGTCGATGCCCTGCCGATGTGCAGCGCGTTTTGTTTATCGTCGCTGTGTCTCTTCCTGCCGTGTAGACTCAGAAGAAAACCACGAAGAGGACGAAGAAAACGAATGGCAGTAACGATAACAACAGAGACAGACGGTAAACGAAATGCCTAAACACAAACTTCTGGAAGTTCGAAAGTCTACGCTTAGACAGCTTGTTTCGTATTCGGTTCTCCCCCGTGTAACAGGCGATGCCACTTTCCTTGGCCTGAGTACGTTGCACCTTCAGGCAACTTGTTGTCTGCCCACGCGCACAAAAAAATGCATGCGGCTTCTCGATTCGATTCGACTCGAGCCTCACTGAACCACGAACGTTGGACCTGCGCTTCACGATCCGCGCCGCAATTAGGTCCCAGCTGACGGCCAGTACTTCCCAGGCCAAGCGGAAATGCCTGGCCACCTCCTTCCTCCCTCCCTCCATCCCTCCACCTCTTTACCCTTCCAGCGTTCCCTGCTCCTACATCTCCTCCTCCTCCTCCTCCCTCCTCCTCCTCCTCCTTCCTCCTCCTCCTCCTCCTCCGCCTCCTCCTCCTGCTGCTCCTCCGGCTCTTCCTCCTCCCCCCTCCTCCTCTTGCAATATCCGTGATGATGGACAGCTTTAACCTAATTATAGTGAAGATTGGTAAACACACATACGCACAAACACACACACACACACACACACACACTGCTCACTCGGCAGGCGCGCGCGGCGACCCGCTGAAGCTCGCTCGGCAGAGCCGCGGGAGAGGCCCAAAGGAAAGGAAAGCGCGGCTGGCCAAACGCGCGCAAACCTGAGACGGAGAGAATGGGTATCGTTGTAACCGATCCCCATCCCCACTGGCATGGCCTTGGCGGGGCCACCAGGCTGCGAGGGCGAAGGTTGCAGCTCCCTGATCCAGTTGCAGTTTCCAGCTTCTCCTGTTACAGTCCTGCTTTCTGCTTCCTTACTGTTAATTGTTGCTGTCCGCGCGAAGGGTGGGAGCCCCAACCGGTATTTTTTACCACGCCCTGGGAGGGTTCTCAGAATGCTTGGGGGGGGCGTGGGACACGCAAAAATACATGATAGTCGCGTCCCCGAGGCCATAATCCTTAGTAAGTTACACCAGACTCGCGTCCCCGAGGCCATAAACCTTTGTAAATTACGCCATTGTCGCGTTCCCGAGGCTATACAAACTCGTAGATTACACCATGTACGCGCCCTCGAGGCCATAAACCTTTGTAAATTGACAAACACTCGCTTCCCCGAAGGCATACAACCTCGTAAAGTACACAATAGTTGCGTCCTCGAGACCATAAGCCCTTTGAAATTCTAAACAACGCAATTCTCGCGACCCCGAAGCCAGAAACCCTTGAACATTATGCACTATTCGCACCCCCAAACCATAAACCCTCCCGTCAGAGCAGTTGTAGTGCCTGGGCTGTGGGTGAGACGTGTTCTGGATGCAGGCCACGGTCTGTTGGGAGGCCCCTCGAAGCTTTCGTGCAAAACAAGCAGGGGGTGAGTTTGAAAAAGAAGGAATTCTAAAATTCCACTGCTTCAACTCATGGGATCATGGGGTCTCGATTTCTACAACGGTTTGAGGGGCAGCCAAGAGGACACGAAGACGATCCAAGAGAGTGCCAAGACAGCGTCAGAGAGTTCAACAGCATTCTCGAAACATGTTTGCATGTGACCCCGAAGTCCTGATGGGGCTCGAGGAAGAGGATAGGGAGTAGGAGTCCCAACTTGAAAAAAAGGAATCTCAGGAATTCCCTTTTTCCAAATTCCTCGGTCTTGGAGCGTTGGAAGCGGGAAAACGTGAGAAGGCAAGAAACACAGGGAGTAAATATTCGATCCCCTTCCCTAGCACCACATCGCCTCCTTTTGCTGTTCTCCTCCTCCTCTTCCTGGGCCGCCTCCTTGCCCTCCTCGCCCTTTTCCTCCTCCTCCTCTTCCGCCCGCCTTCCTCCCCCCTCCTTCCTCCCCCCTCTCCCTCTCCACCTCTCCCCCTCCTCGTCCACCCCCTCCTCCGATCCTCCGATCCTCCTTTTCCTTGCTCTCCCCTTCCCCTTCCTCCTCCCCTTTCGTATCCTAATCCTTCTCCTTCCCTTGCTTTTCTTCTCCCCCTCCCCCTCCCCCTCCTTGTTCCTCTTCTTCACTTCCTCCTCCCCCCTCGCCCATTCCCCGTCCTCCTCCTCCTCCTCCTCCTCCTCCTCTCCCTCCCCCTCCTACTTCTCCTCCCCCTCCTCCTCCTCTTCCACCTTGACCTCATCCTCATCCTCATCCCCTCTCTCCTTCTGCTTCCGAGGTGCTTGGTTTCGGAGGGCCGGCCGCGGCGCTTGCTCCCAGCGGCCGCTGAACACATCGGCGACCCTCGTCGTGTCCACCAGCCCATATCCACATCTCGCGTGGGACGGGTGGCGAGGTGGGAGGGGGCGGATGGGTGGGAGAGTCGGGCGTGGTTAAGACGAGGGACGAGGATACATCCGTTTCAAAGCGTTCCGGAATGCTCTCAGAGCGTTCCAGAACGCTCTGAGAAGGCCACGACGCCTGATACATATTCCAGAGCCGCTGGATCTCAGAGATCCTCGATTTATCCTCACCCGATTTTATCCTCGTCCAGGCTTCGTCTTAGGTTGGGGATGAGGAGGGTGAGGGAGGCGGAGGAGCAGGAGGCTGGGCTGGGCGGGGGGGAGCAGGAGGCTGGAGGAGGAGGAGGAGGAGGAGGAGGAGGAGGAGGAGGAGGAGGAGAAAGAGGAGCAGGAGGAGTAGGGGGAGGAGGAGGAGAAAGAGGACTGCGAGGGGAAGGGGATGGAGGATGAAGCAGGGGATGATTGTTTTTGGATTGCGACGCTGATGAAGCCGAAAGACTGTCAGCAAAGGGGCGGCGCTACAGCTGGCATCATACATTTTTGCAAACATCATTCTGCGCGGGCATCGAGTACGCAAATACAATTAAGAGCACTTCGGGGGTCAGGTAGCGAAGCACAGCAGAGACAGCAAGTCGGGCGACGATGGGCGGTCCTGGTGCGACGCCGGCGATGCTTCCCCGAACGACGCAACGGAAGAGGACGATGCCCGGCCGGTCAACACGCAGCCGAGGGAGGGCGCTGTCGCCGGCTCCCAGGACGGTACCCCCGACGAGACGGCGGAGGACCCCACAGCACCCTATCTTCACGCTGCGACGAGCAGCGAGCGCAGGCGCTGCACGAGCCACCTTGCTCTTCATCACGTCGGGGCCAAAGTGGCAGGCGCCGGCCCTGTCAGCAGGTGTGTGCGGCCCTCGCAGGAGGCGAGCAGCAAGCGGGGAGGCGGGGCAGCATGCAGCGGCCACGGGCGGATGCACAGCGAGCGTCCTGCTCGCGCGAGCCCGGCTCGCGGCCGCTGGGAGGGGCCTGGGGGGGGCGCCTCGCACGTCGCACGTGCGGTGCGCGTCGGATGTACATCAAGGGGGGACAGAGCACCCAGACCCGCACAACTGGCGTTCACTATGCGGCTCTGGGCGTTTACTGAGCAGCCCTGCCCAGTTCGATTCCTTCCCTGGGTGCGTTTACGGAACGGCTTCGTTTGTCGGGGTGATTGTGGTGGGGGTGGATCCGAAGCCACGCGAATGGCGATGCAGGCGACGGCGATGCAGCCTTCCGTATTGTGGGAACGCGTGGCTCGTACTTTCCTTCAATTCGCTGCGTCGTTTTGGTATGTAGGAAGGTGTGGTTCGTGATTACCTACGTTTTGGTTCCCAACATCACCGGCACATTTACTGCCCTCCAGCACTGCATTTCTACTGCTTCAGGCTCGCTTCCCCCACTGCCACTTTTCCCAGCCCCGACCGCTTCCGCTTTAGTTGACTTTCCAGCTTCCGCTCTTTGCAGCTTCCTTGTACAGTCGGGGCCCTGAAGAAGGAACCCTTTTCGTTGGGGAGGGGCTCCGCGTTCCTGAAGTGTTTCGCAGCTTGCCTCAGGCTTTCCTTCTGTTTTCGGCAGGAAATATGGAAGGTTCACTTCTGGAAAAAAGGGGACCTCGTTCCTTATTCAGGGTTCCTCAGGTCAGCGCCCCGACTGTGCAGTGACACCCCTGCTGGGCATCGCGCGGGTCCCTGGAAGCTCGGGCCGGGCGAAAGGGGGGGATTGGGAAAGGGGGGGTTACGAAATCTGCTGCATGCAGCTGGTTTTGGCCCCACCGAGGGGCTCATTCCTCGATGCATGGGCGCCTCCCGGCGCCGGGAGGCGCCGGGAAAATCCGCTACGTGAGCTGATTCTCAAACCCCCCCTTTGCTATCCCCCCCTTTCGCCCGACCCGACTGGTGCTCGTCTGCACCCTGGTGATGTTTCCGCTCTGATGCCAGCGGTCGGCTCCTGGACCTGGACTGTTTTTCGTGCCCGTGCCTGCGTGCGCGCTCCGTGAGACTGGCGCAGCCGTTCGCGCCTGCCTCGGCCTTGCTTCATTGGGTTTCCACTTCATCTTGCTTTCGTTTCGCCCGACCCGAGAAGCCCCGCCCCCGCACGGCCCTCCGAGGAATGCGCGGGCGCGCCGCGCGGCCGCAGAGCCGCGCGGCCGCCCACTGCGCCGAGAGCTCTTGGGGGGGCAGGGGCGGCGCCAAAGGGGCGGCGCCGCCGCGGAGACAGCCAAAGGGGGGGCGGCGCCGGGGGGAGCTGCAGAGAGAGGAGCTCCCCCCCCCCCAGGTTCCCCAAGCTGGGGGGGATGGAGGGGGAGGGGGAGGAGGAGGAGGAGGAGGAGGAGGGGGGGAGGAGGAGGGAAAGGAGGGGGGAGGAGGAGGAGGAGGAGGGATGGAGGAGGAGGAGGAGGAGGGGGAGGGGGAGGAGGAGGAGGAGGGGGAGGAGGAGGAGCAGGAGGAGGAGGAGGGACGACGGTGACGACGACGAACTGGCGCTTTGGCCGGGGGGCCCTCCGGGGGGTGCCTCCCTGGGCTCCCTCGGGCGCCCTCTGGGTGCCTCTCGCGGGCCTCTCGGGGCGCCTCCTGGGGCCTCGGGGGGGGGGGCGCCTCTCGACAGGGGGAGTCCGCGTGCCGCTTCGCCGGCCTCCCCCACATCTCTGATGAATTCAAGCCTCGCGCGGCCCGCTCAGCCTCGACCGGAAGAGGTGCGCTCTCTCGACCCGCGAGTCAAAAAAGTGCCGCTTCGCCGGGCCTGGCCCGCCACGCCTCGGCGTCGGCGCGCCGCGCCGTCCGCCTGCCGGTCCCCGGGCTCCGGCCTCCCGGCGCCTCTCTCCGCGCCCTGCCGCCCGCGCGGCGCGGGATGCGGCGCGCACCCCGCGCCCCCGCAGGGGGCACGGCGAGTGCCGCCGGGGGCCGCCGCCGCGGCGCGCGGAGCAAAGAGAGTTCCCGAGCGTGCCCCCACCCTGGCATCGCTCGGGCGTGTGCACTTGTCCTTCGGCGAGGGCCCTCGAGGAGCATCCTTGGATCCTTTGGCGAAAAAGCCACGCGCGAAGCCGAACAAAAACACGGGGAATGGACGTCCGAGCGATGGCGAGCCACCCGCCTCGACTCCCAGCAGGCGCCCAGAGACCAGCACACCATACTGCTCGATCGAAGAAATAGCCGAGTCCGAAGCTGGGGTCTGCAGCCCGGGTTGCAACTGCGCGACGCTGCAGTGCTCGCTCGCGCGCGTGGAAGTCGCTCACGCCTGCGCTCGCGCGCCTGCGCACGATTTTGTGTTCAACATGCGCGCGTAGCTCATCTGTGAGAGGGACAGGGACTGGAAGGGGCGGGCACGGATCAGAGTGTGGGACAGAGGGCCCTTCCAAGAAATCAAGGGCATCAGCGCACTCCTGCTCCTCACTAGCCTCTGGGGGCCAATAGGCCTCGGTTCCGCTGTCGGGTCTGGCACAGCACCGGAGTCTGGAGGGACGGATGGGGCAGGTGGCGAGAAGCCCTCGCGCTTTGGGTCAGCGCTGCGACTCCGTAGACCAGCGGATGAGGACACAACGTCAAGGGCCCATTCCTCTGCGACCCTCAAATGCGGATCCCACTCCAATGCAGCTCAGACGGTGCACACGCTGAGTACGTGTGGGATACTGCGCCCACGATGCTGTCAGCGATTGCACTACATGTGGCAGTGGGATGCGTCTTCTTCCTGGCTGTACGCCGCTCGTCCCGTGAGCGGTCGAAGCCCATGAACACCTCATGAGCACCACGGCCGTGTGAGCACTTGCCACGCCCTGGCGTCAGCCTAAGGCAGGAGAGCGAGGATTGAGGGAGGGGGAATGGGGGGCGGGAGGAGGACGAGGAGGGCGGCGGGGGGGGTGGGGGATCTTTCGGGCATTGGACGCAACGAGGCTCGCACGTTCCATTTGAAGCGGGCTGTGCTCGCCCGTTCCATTTGAAGCGGGCTGTTTCGATCACAGCTTTGAACTGTCACAGTTTAATACAGCCGCTGAGACTTCTTTTCCCAACGCTCAGCGCTGCGGAAGGGCTGCTGATCAGGGAAGGGCTCATTCGGAGGGCCAGGTCCTCGGAGGGTGCCTTGCTCTCGCGAGGCTCTGCCCTAGAGTCCCCATGACTCCCTCCTCGTCTTCCCTCCTCTCCTCCTCTCCTCCCTCCTCCCTTCTCCTCCCCCCACCCCCGCCGCCCCTTCCTCCTCTTCCTCCTCCGCCCTCTCCCCGTGCAAGCGATGCCTCATGTCCAGCAGAGGCGAGCTTCGGCATAGACAGATGCGCCGCCGCCTCGCGTACAGCGCGCGCGAGAGGCATCGTTCGGAGACGCCCTGCTGCGGGCGGCAGCCAGGAGAGGAGGAGGAGGAAGACGAGGAAGAGGAGGAGGAGGAGGAGGAGGAAGAGGAGGAGGAGGAGGAGGAGGAGGAGGAGGAGGAGGAGGAGGAGGAGGAGGAGGAGGAGGAGGAGGATGTATAAGGATTGCAAGGGGGATTCCGTGGAGCCAGATGAGAAGGGTTGCGAGCAGGTGGAGGAACATGAGGATTACGAGGGAGATAATGATGAGAGCGACGAAGGTGACGGCAGCGGTGGCGGCGACGACGGTAGGCAGGAGTTGAGAGACGCTGATTGGTAAGCGGCGGCGGAGGAGAGGGAAGGATGAGGAGGACGAGGTCGTGAGGATTACGAGGAGGTGGAGGAAGGGGCAGGAATCGGATATTAAGGACGAGGAAGTGTAGAAATCTAAGAAGGATGATGCAGGAAAGGCGACGCAGGAGAGAGATGGAACATGGAGGGAAGATGGAATGAAAGATGGGGGCGATGATCAGGATGACGGTGATGACGGTGACGACGGTGATACTGCTGCTGACGATGATGGTAATGATGATGAGGCTGATGATATTGATGATGATAATGATGCTGCTGCTGATGATGATTCTGATGATGTTGATGCTGCTGATGACGACGACGATGCTGATGATGATGACGACGATCATACTGACACTGATGACAATATCGACGATGATGATGATGACGGTGGTGGTGATGATGCTGATAATTGCGATGATGCTGACGACGATGACGATGTCGAAGACGACGATGATGACGATGATGCTGACGATGGTGTTGTTGATGATGATGATGCTGATGATGGTTATGAGGATGCTGATGATGATGGTGGTGGCGATGTTGCTGGTAATGCTGATGCTGCTTATGATGAGGATGATGATGATACTGATGATGGAATTGTTGTTGATGATGGTGTTGGTGATGAAGCTGGTAACGATGATGATGCATGATGCTGCTGCCGAACAACAAAATGGTTATGATGATGGTCAGTATGATGATGCTGATGATGATAATGATGATGGTGGTGATGATGCTGGCGATGAGGATGACGATGCTGATGATGATGATGATGATGGTGCTGATGATTGTGGTGATGATGTTGGCGATGTTGATGCTGCTGATGCTGATGATGCTGATGCTGCTCATGGTGATGATGATGATGATGATGATGATGATGCTGATGATGATGATGTTGATGCTGATGATGATGATGATGCTGATGATGATGATGCTGATGCTGATGCTGACGCTGATGATGA